GGTGAACGACAGCCACTGACCGACAAGAACAAAACCGACCCGGGAAACTTGGGCAAAAGCCTCGATCCTGTGTATCAATCCGTGAATCCGTGAATACACTTTTCTTTCCTAGGTAGATAATGTCTCATTGTAGCGTCTATGGTGCTTCTACTTACAGATTACCTGGAGGTTCTTTCAGCCAACCTTTCAGAGCAGCGGCGGTCTTTCAGAGTAGTCTCTATCAAGCTATCAGACTGCCATATAGTCTTCATAATCTCCTCGTCCTTCAGGAACAGTGTTATTCTGCGCCCTTGCTTTCAATGAAATTCGATCCAAACACCTTCGGTAGGTGAAAGAAGAGTAAGTTTTCCACTGGGCAATTTGCTGATATTTGTGGGGTTTCGCGGTAGCGGCTGGTACTAAAATTGCTGATCCCAAGGGCGTTAGGTATGCGTAGGATGTCTCAAAGAATCCAAAAGTTGCTTAATAACCCAACGGGACTCTCCGTAATTAGTTCCTGACAAAATAAGGTGGCCATCTCCTGGAATTCTTGCAAAATGAGCATCCGCAAGGTGCCTCCTTTTCCTTCGTAGCAAATCGTCCAGGTTCAAAGCCTTGATGGGGTGGAATAGCCCAACAGGTTAGGCCTATTCGATATCTACAGCATACCCGTCGATCAGAGACTGTAAAGCAAAGCTTGCTGTCATGGTATCCCTGATTGCGGGGCCATTTACCGATGTTACTTCTACGTGTATCACTTTTCCCTCTATTTCGAGCTGCTTAGCCAATCCGGTCCTCAGTGGGGCAGTGTCAGAATTGCCACACACATTCTGCACATTCTGCTTCCCCTGGGTTAATTTTTGCGATAAAATTTCTAACCTTCTGCCAATTGGATGAAAGCCCACTTTTGCAGTTGCCTGATACCGATCTCTCATCATTCGAGGACTCATAAAACAAAAGTAGCAGCTTCCGGAAAACTAACTTCCGCATTTTAGTGTGCTATTCCTTCATCCCTATTGTGATCTCTTTCTTCAGTGTCTCTTTACCTAGCCTTCATTTTACAATCCCTACCCGACTGCACGCTGTTCCTTCCACTACCATTTGTGCTTGACCTAGGAGGAGAGTATCGGCATAGTAGAGGAAGCTGAGGACGCAAATACCATGATCAACAGCGTTGTCAGAAATATCGTTCTTCAATTTATCGGTTGCCTTGTTCGATAGGGTTTGAAGCAACTTACATATTCGTGTTCTGGACATATTGGTCCCAAATTTAAAAAATTCCAATTAGTGTAAACGCCCGGGATCGACGAGGTACTTAAAATTCAAGTATTTTAGATTGTTCCCAGCAATCAGTTGGATCATGTTGAGCTATGCACAAAACCCCAAGTCAAGCCGTTCGAAGGGAGGTTTGTCAGCAAACGTGGTACCATGAACCAGCAAAAGTGGAAAAACCACAAACCGTGGGACCACGTCGGCTTCTATACAATAATTTAGGGACTATTTGTTCGTAACGGATTCCAGGATCACATTGATTCAAGGCAGCGCGTTTACGAGGTAGCGGAATCACGTATGGGTTAAAAAACACATGTGACGAGAATACCGAAGGGCGGTTTACGTTCCGGTAAAAAAAGCAAAAACGGAACAACAAAAACGGGGAATCGCGTCTTACGAAATATAAAGGGAGCAATAAAGTCAACAGGGAAAATACTTAATAATGGGGTACCCTATTATTGGGTATAAATCTGCTACGTAGCAGCCCCCCGATGCGGTGCAAGTGGCAGCTTCCACTTTTACCAGAACAGATAATCAAAAGAAAATCGGGTCGATAAGCAACAATAGTTTTAGCACAATTTGCATCACGTGCTTATTGGTGAAGATAGCTGCTACACTTTTATTATCCGTAACAGTGTCGGTCACTCAGTGGATCCTTTAACGCGTATTGTCGTCAATTAAATGAGTACTTCACATACCAGCAAGCTCTCCGTGAGTTTGAAGACGGTGGTCCGTCGCATCCATGTGATGGAGATTGCCGAAGTAGCTAGGATCGCCGACCAATGACCTTAGCCTGGAGAGCGTCCAGCTGTCGGGAGAGGATAGTTTGCTAAGACAAACAAGCTTATATCTGTAATCTCATTTTCATTTTCCCAATGTGTGGCCACAGTGTATCGTGCGTGGGAATACTACGGCTCAATCAATTACACTACCTGGCTGTGCAGGAAATATAGTCCACATCAGTATCGGCATTTCCCAGCGACCTAAGCACCGGCCGAGAACTTTTGACTTCAAAGGACAATCAGGAGGACAGAGTGCAAGTTTCATTAAAACGTGACTAAAATGTGAAGAACCAGTGGAATATCAATGAACTGTCGACAGGACTGCGGTTTGGAACAATTACTCAATGAAAAGCGTACGAATACGGCTTCATAAACAAGTGAAATTTTTATTTCTTCCAAGTTAGACTGAATCCAAAGCTATATTCAGCAGCTGCCGTTCATCCTTTGGCCGCTTTGCCTGCGTCCTTATCAGTTTTCATCTTCGTTTACTGGCGATGTAGTGGTTACTTCACTTGCGTAACTCATCATTTGTGTTTTTGCATATGAAAAATAATTCAGACTACTGCAATTTATTTCCATAAAATTCACCCCCGAAACTAGTCGAGCTTTTGTTTGCCAAAAGAAAACCAGCGGTAGGAGTTTATCTTGGCCCAACGAACCCACTAGGTTTCGGCCCATACCGGAATGTTGATAAGGATGTAGCGCCTAAGTTAATGCACCAACCCACGACCAGGCTTGCCGTTTCTACTAATGAAGTTCATCGTACTTTGAACGTACGTTGTAGTCTACTTGCCGGCTTTTCATAAAAGATTGAAGGCCCCATGATCAATGTCCCTCAAAGATTGTCTGACACTTGTATGACTGTACACAATGTCATGTATGGGTTGGTAATGACTAGTAGTGATCAGGGCTTCTGCAAAAACGGCCACTATGGGAAGGGATCACAAACGCCGCTTTCTACACAGCATGTCAGCGAATTCCTTGCCCTCAGTGAATTACTATGGATTGACCAAGTGGTGAAGCCAAATTGGTGGGATATACCACGCGAGCTACAACGTCGCCGTTGTGGGCGTTGACTAAAGAGGCACAAGAGTGGACCTAGCTTTAGACCTCATTCACTATCATGACATCGACGGTGGTCAGCGATATAAGCTTTGCAGAACTTAGCAATGATTATGCATTCCAAAACGCTGACAGCTTTGCACGTTTTGTGGGTATGCCGATATACATAGCCCACCCGATGGTGTACCGAATAGGTGCGCGGTAGCGTGAAACAGGTAGTGAAGAAAACGAGGAATTCTGTATGTGAGGTGCTTTACCCCGATTGCTGTGGCACTGTAGGATGGCATCAGGTAGCTAGAGACGTGTGAACAACCAGAAAATCATTGACAGCCACCAGTCAATCAATACAACGCGTTCCTAAAATGCCATTCAAATTTTCGCTTCCTTATCTTGCATTGAGTGGATATCGGTAGAAAGTTCGGCCATGCCCTTAACATGCGCTAATAGGACTGGTTAGGTTGACCTGTGAACTTTGAAGACTAAGCTCAAAATAATCAAGCCGTTCCCCCTAATCTCGCTGGTTTTCCCCATTTCTCCAATCTTTACTCCCTGTTTGTCCTACAGAGGCAGAGCGAACACAATTGTGAATCCCTTCCTGACTATCTCATAAAAAGTCTTGTTTTCCAATCGTTTGTTTCAAAATGCTCCAAAGAAGTGGGTGACAAATGGAGGGTTGTGGTCTTATAACCAATGATCATAGCTCCAGAGTAAGATACATTTCACCACTTTTTTATGAAAGTGATCTATTACCCAACTTGTGTTGGAGTCATCAGAGTATAGTAGGGGTGTGTTCACATCTTGTTACGTCGCAAACTGCAATGGTTGCAATAGCCTTTGGGGGCTGGTACTTGCGACTTCCAAAAAGTGAAGAGACAACAACAACTCAGCAGGAAAATACCATTACGCGTACCAGGGTTCTCGAGATATCCACGGAAAAATAAAGAGAAAGTGCTGATTGAAAAAAGCAAATCGCTAACTCCAACACCTTATTAGTGTTTCTTCCATAAAACAGTTCGATGCATTTCAAAGTAACGTAATTTAGCGAATGAGCAGCAACAGGAATTCTAAATGCGAACTGGGTGACAACAACAAATATTCGGATTGAAGTTTAAATCCCCGCCAAATAAACGGTTTGTACAAGTTCCACTAAAATGATAGTATGTTGAAAAATCTCAGGACTTCTTGGGGCCTCAAATACCTCAACGAGTTCCTGAAAAGTTTGTCTTCTGCACTCCATGGTTTTAAAGCAATTTTGGTGTATGTTTGGGGTTATACTATTTAACTGGAAGCCTAGCGATTTTCAGTTAATCGTGTCGATAATGAAGGATTTCAGTCAAATTACTTCGTAGTTTTCTTTTCCAAAATATTATTCTTAGACATGCGAGGGTTTTCTAACGCGAGGTTAACTGAAAACAGGACTGATGATATTATCTATGTGCACTGACGCTTGCATTGGTGACAATCAAGGTCATTCCGCGAGAAGGCACCTATTGAACACGGAATAGGTTCTAACAGTATAAGTCACACTTCCAAGACTAAAGAAAAAGGCACTCTCTCAACCGTATAAGCAGAAATTTTTCATATGAAGACTTGTAATTTAAACCCACTGGACTGCAAGCCCTCTCTACAGACACCAATGCCCTCGGTCAATATCCCAGTAAACACATCACCGCGGCACAACCGGTGGCGCCACCTTTGGTGCCACCAGTGGCAAGAGGTGGCAAATGCCGTGGGCTAGACGCACGCCGAAAATTTCTCTGAAACCGTGGTTCGAAGGAGGAAAACTTTAACATAAAGTTTTAACATTTGATGGTAATTTTTCGGACGTATGAGATCTTCCCAAACGGCCGCAGTTTTGTTGAAAGTTGTTTAAATCTACTCAATCCATACGATATTCAAGACCCGGGATATTCATATTTTAAATGGCTGCTATGGCTGAGAATGTGAATGCGGAGGATGATTTTGTGGAGAATTTAGCTCGCCAAGTTTTTTCTCATTCAATGCACTTCAAGTCGCTTTGAAAGAGTACCAGACGAAACATTTCGTTGTTTTCGTCCGTATAGACTCCAAAAAGAGCAGCAATTCGCTACTTTTGTATGAAAAAACCTCCTACCGTTGCAGCAGATATCCTTGCAGATGAAGCAGAAGCCGTGGAATTCGTCGCACCTAGTAAGTTAATGGTTGACTGTGTATACGTTGTAGCACACGTCGTACTGATTGTCCGGCAAGGTTCCACGTTCGCCGGTACCATGACTGCTTGAGGGTTACCTCTTACTACCTGGAGCACAACCATCCACGCAGCAAGTTTATTTTTGACAGGCTCCTCATCAACCGGCGACTGACAAATGATGAATTAAAAGAGTGTTCTACCCTTTTGAAATACGGTGCTCCGTCATCGGAAATTCGGCAGTACGTCGCCGACCACTTTGGAAGGGTACTCACCATCAAGGATGTGCCTAATTATCGCGTCAAATGTCGACCCCCATTGTTAAGTAGGTCGTTGATTAACTTTTAGTCGGTTTCTTAGATGACATGTCGTCCACCATAGCCAAGTTTCGAGAGTGCGGTCGCGTGCTGCTGGTGGAATCGAGGGTGGCAGATATAGTCACGTTTTATTGTTTTGTGTAACTTTTGCAGGCATTTTCCAACCGCAGTCGGCACATAATCCACCGCATGGCTCGCTTTGATAATGCAGCTGAGTAAGTGACTGTGTACCAAACACTAGTCGCGTAGATTTCTCCAAGATTTGCAAATCTCGGGGAGAACAAATCCCAGTTTATTTCTCTTATTTGACTGCCCACTGGCTCCGCATCACTCGAAAGCGGGCCATTCATGCACAACATGGGTTGGTACATTTTGGGAATGTGACCAACAGCCGCCTGGAGAAGGCCAACGGGCGTCTGAAGAGGCGTGCATCATTCAGATAGCCTGGAGCATGCCGTCCAGAAGGTCGCTTATCACAGCGAATGGCTAATGCGCGAATGCCTCAAATGCCGAATCAATGAACCCATGGCAATCCGCAACAACTATACATTTTTCAGTTTCACATCACTCTCGTTTTGAACAGTCGTCCTCCTGTCCTGGCGCAATTATTCATGTGAATCCACACCAAAGGGGGGAAGCACTGGACTCCAGTTTCGCTCTTGTTAGAGCTCATCAGCAGTGCATATCAAATGGCCGTGCCTGGGTTTGAACTCCGGACACCTGACATGCGAGGCGAACGTGTTACCACTATTCCACCAGCGCACGTTGGACGCATCTGAATTCTCACGTCTGAACGTGTGAACGTGTTCTCACTTAAGCGTTGTGATTATACATTTATCCCTCATCCCGGTTATGAGAATTATGAACCACTAGGTAAGCAAACAAATAAGATTCAATTACATCCAGATGCTTAAATGCTGTTCCCGAAGAGTAACTGCCTGCCCATTTTCCGTTTCAGAATCCTTGTCCCGTGAAGTGGATCTCAAGAAAATGAAAAATTGAGCGACTACCAATCAAGCTTGTATCAGTGATGCCAATGAATAAAATGCAATTTGCCAATGGTGTTTTCGTAAGTTCGTGGCGGGTGCATTATGAACGCGTAGAGTTATGCGTATGAAGCGCCGTCGTTGGCCACTGTATTACATTAGCGTGCATAGGTGGCGCCTCATAATCTGCGTCGCGAATAGCAGTTATGCCAAGTAGTCGAGGTGAGCGACAGCTCATTGTTTCGGGTAATGGAGGGAGTGGTCGAGGGGGTACAATCAAGAGTAGGAGTTGGGTGGTGATTGCGCTTTGGCAGGTGATGACAACCGTTGATCGTTGGGTTAGTGTTACGTGTTACCGGGGCAATATGGTTAGCTAAGAGCATGTTTACGGGCCCGGCAGTTACTATAGGTAGCCACCGTAGGTTACGTCCACTACAGTTGTGACGTTTACTTAAGGTAGCAAACATAAACGGCATAGAGTATGAGTATGACGGTAAATAGCTAAGTTAGGTGACTTTGAGTACAGTTGTGACTATAACAGGCTGTCAGATTAGGCCATCACCCATGGTTGAGTCCTTGTTTTTACCGGTTAGCATATCTACTGGATTGATGTTTGCTGTAGGTAGCGAAGATAAGCGGCATCGCGTATAGTTAAGGGCATGAAAGGCCGTCAGCCTTATACTCAGCGTTGCACATAGACACAGGTCTTGCAATTACGATAAGCAGCCAAGGTAGGCGACATCAACT